GCAATTCCCACTAAATAAGCTTTTCGTACCCTGCGTCACGGCACATGTGTAGCAGTGCAGACAAAGAGGATGGAGACAGACATGTTATGTGGAGTAATGTCCAAGCTGAAGCAGGTGCAAAAATCAGCAAATGACGTGGCAATTCCCACTAAATAAGCTTTTTGTACCCTGCGTCACGGCACATGTGTAGCAGTGCAGACAAAGAGGATGGAGACAGACATGCTATGTGGAGTAATGACCAAGCTGAAGCAGGTGCAAAAATCAGCAAATGACGTGGCAATTCCCACTAAATAAGCTTTTTGTACCCTGCGTCGCAGCACATGTGTAGCAGTGCAGACAAAGAGGATGGAGACAGACATGTTATGTGGAGTAATGACCAAGCTGAAGCAGGTGCAGAAGTCAGCAAATGACGTGGCAATTCCCACTAAATAAGCTTTTCGTACCCTGCGTCACGGCACATGTGTAGCAGCGCAGACAAAGAGGATGGAGACAGACATGTCATGTGGAGTAATGTCCAAGCTGAAGCAGGTGCAAAAATCAGCAAATGACGTGGCAATTCCCACTAAATAAGCTTTTCGTACCCTGCGTCGCAGCACATGTGTAGCAGTGCAGACAAAGAGGATGGAGACAGACATGTTATGTGGAGTAATGTCCAAGCTGAAGCAGGTGCAAAAATCAGCAAATGACGTGGCAATTCCCACTAAATAAGCTTTTCGTACCCTTCAGGAGGAACAAAGTTTATGCTTCTTGAAAGCTTTACAAGACATCCATGTCGGTCAACCGCGGATCGCATTTTCAAGTCCGTTTTGTGTGGCAGGTGTGGGACGGTCAATTATCACGCTCTTTTAAATATATAAGATTTTAAAGCTTTTGGAGGGTGGAAATGCGACCGGGGTACGACAAAGCTCCATGCTAGGATTCTACGGGGAAAGGGTGTGAAGAAGAAGAAGAAGAAACCAAACATGTTCACTGTGGGAAGCTCAACAAGCGCAACTTTTGTCCTACCAGTGCATCACGGCACATGTGTAGCAGTGCAGACAAAGAGGATGGAGACAGACATGTTATGTGGAGTAATGACCGGGCTGAAGCAGGTGCAAAAATCAGCAAATGATTTGGCAATTCCCACTAAATAAGCTTTTTGTACCCTGCGTCACGGCACATGTGTAGCAGTGCAGACAAAGAGGATGGAGACAGACATGCTATGTGGAGTAATGACCAAGCTGAAGCAGGTGCAAAAATCAGCAAATGACGTGGCAATTCCCACTAAATAAGCTTTTTGTACCCTGCGTCGCAGCACATGTGTAGCAGTGCAGACAAAGAGGATGGAGACAGACATGTTATGTGGAGTAATGACCAAGCTGAAGCAGGTGCAGAAGTCAGCAAATGACGTGGCAATTCCCACTAAATAAGCTTTTCGTACCCTGCGTCACGGCACATGTGTAGCAGTGCAGACAAAGAGGATGGAGACAGACATGTTATGTGGAGTAATGTCCAAGCCGAAGCAGGTGCAAAAATCAGCAAATGACGTGGCAATTCCCACTAAATAAGCTTTTCGTACCCTTCAGGAGGAACAAAGTTTATGCTTCTTGAAAGCTTTACAAGACATCCATGTCGGTCAACCGCGGATCGCATTTTCAAGTCCGTTTTGTGTGGCAGGTGTGGGACGGTCAATTATCACCCTCTTTTTAATATATAAGATTTTAAAGCTTTTGGAGGGTGGAAATGCGACCGGGGTACGACAAAGCTCCATGCTAGGATTCTACGGGGAAAGGGTGTGCAGAAGAAGAAGCCAAACATGTTCACTGTGGGAAGCTCAACAAGCGCAACTTTTGTCCTACCAGTGCGTCACGGCACGTGTGTAGCAGTGCAGACAAAGAGGATGGAGACAGACATGTTATGTGGAGTAATGTCCAAGCTGAAGCAGGTGCAAAAATCAGCAAATGACGTGGCAATTCCCACTAAATAAGCTTTTTGTACCCTGCGTCACGGCACATGTGTAGCAGCGCAGACAAAGAGGATGGAGACAGACATGCTATGTGGAGTAATGACCAAGCTGAAGCAGGTGCAAAAATCAGCAAATGACGTGGCAATTCCCACTAAATAAGCTTTTTGTACCCTGCGTCGCAGCACATGTGTAGCAGTGCAGACAAAGAGGATGGAGACAGACATGTTATGTGGAGTAATGACCAAGCTGAAGCAGGTGCAGAAGTCAGCAAATGACGTGGCAATTCCCACTAAATAAGCTTTTCGTACCCTGCGTCACGGCACATGTGTAGCAGTGCAGACAAAGAGGATGGAGACAGACATGTTATGTGGAGTAATGTCCAAGCTGAAGCAGGTGCAAAAATCAGCAAATGACGTGGCAATTCCCACTAAATAAGCTTTTCGTACCCTTCAGGAGGAACAAAGTTTATGCTTCTTGAAAGCTTTACAAGACATCCATGTCGGTCAACCGCGGATCGCATTTTCAAGTCCGTTTTGTGTGGCAGGTGTGGGACGGTCAATTATCACCCTCTTTTAAATATATAAGATTTTAAAGCTTTTGGAGGGTGGAAATGCGACCGGGGTACGACAAAGCTCCATGCTAGGATTCTACGGGGAAAGGGTGTGCAGAAGAAGAAGCCAAACATGTTCACTGTGGGAAGCTCAACAAGCGCAACTTTTGTCCGACCAGTGCGTCACGGCACATGTGTAGCAGTGCAGACAAAGAGGATGGAGACAGACATGTTATGTGGAGTAATGTCCAAGCTGAAGCAGGTGCAAAAATCAGCAAAGGACGTGGCAATTCCCACTAAATAAGCTTTTTGTACTCTGCGTCGCAGCACATGTGTAGCAGTGCAGACAAAGAGGATGGAGACAGACATGTTATGTGGAGTAATGACCAAGCTGAAGCAGGTGCAGAAGTCAGCAAATGACGTGGCAATTCCCACTAAATAAGCTTTTCGTACCCTGCGTCACGGCACATGTGTAGCAGTGCAGACAAAGAGGATGGAGACAGACATGTTATGTGGAGTAATGTCCAAGCTGAAGCAGGTGCAAAAATCAGCAAAGCACGTGGCAATTCCCACTAAATAAGCTTTTTGTACCCTGCGTCACGGCACATGTGTAGCAGTGCAGACAAAGAGGATGGAGACAGACATGTTATGTGGAGTAATGTCCAAGCTGAAGCAGGTGCAAAAATCAGCACATGACGTGGCAATTCCCACTAAATAAGCTTTTCGTACCCTTCAGGAGGAACAAAGTTTATGCTTCTTGAAAGCTTTACAAGACATCCATGTCGGTCAACCGCGGATCGCATTTTCAAGTCCGTTTTGTGTGGCAGGTGTGGGACGGTCAATTATCACCCTCTTTTAAATATATAAGATTTTAAAGCTTTTGGAGGGGGGAAATGCGACCGGGGTACGACAAAGCTCCATGCTAGGATTCTACGGGGAAAGGGTGTGCAGAAGAAGAAGCCAAACATGTTCACTGTGGGAAGCTCAACAAGCGCAACTTTTGTCCTACCAGTGTATACCCTCCGGTTATTTAACATAGCCATGGAAAATGGCCCATTTATAGATGGTTTACCTATTAAAAATGGTGATTTTCCATAGCTATGTTAAATTACCAGAGGGTATATATATATACACATTATTTAGGGGATCACATGTTGGTTCCAAATGGTTCCAACAGTCATGCTGGCTCTCCTTCGCCAAATCTAGGGCGCTCAAACCCTGCGCGTCTAATGCCAGAAACACCTGACGAAGTCGGGTGTGTTCTGGCGGAAACCACTTGGAGTTGACAACCCCAATGGATTCTTGGATAAATTATTGGATACATCCAGGATACATATGGATACATCAACATATTCAGGGTACATATATATATATATATATTATTTTTTTTAAACATACAAACACTTGCGAGCTCCCATTGCTCCATGGCAATACAACATACACACATATATATATATTATACTATACATAATATATATATATATACATATGCATATATATATATATACACTATACTATATATATATTTACATATGTATATATATATACACACTATATATATATATATATACACACTATATATATATATATACGTAGTATAGATAATTTTCATTAGATGTGTACGGCACTGTGGACTTGCCCACCATATCCACCATGTATAAACTCCAAGCCTGTCGGGCCTGTGTGTCTACCACTTCTATTGAGTTGAGCAATCTGGGGTATAGAAACGTCGCCCCTTCTCCGTCTTCTCCTGTCTTTTTATCTGTAGCACGAAGAAATGATCTCCTTAAAATGATCCAACAGGTCCTGCACCCCTAAGTCCCTAAGTTCCATTTCCTTTGACCAAAGAATAGAGAGAATTCTCTTGGATCTTACCCCTTCTATCAATCGGAGTTGTGTTGTGCATCGCTGAAGATGGTGGAAGTGTACGGGAACAACCTAGGTGAAATAAACGTGGCCCAAGACAGGTTAAAATGAACGTTTTGGTGGACGGCTACAAAGTGCCCCTTCAACATTGACAGCAAAATCTCTGGAATCATCAACTAACAACGGTTTTGAACTCTGCTATATGCTTTGAACATCTGTTAGTCCTTCCATTGCGAGTCTGTCAATGGATTGAAGCAACAGAAACCCTACAGGAAACCATAATTTCTACCCAAATGTAGAACTTTTCTGTGAACGGTAACTTCAAGGAAAGCGGGGCTTATATAGTCATGCCGCAATGCGTGACATGATTCTTACTCAGGGAGAAGGGAAACATATTCCACAGTGGCATTTGATCAATAACCATCCCCATGAACCATCCATGGTAAAGGGTATCATAATCCTCCCAAAGAACGGGGTACACCCAATAATAAACACCCAATAAACACCCAATAACCAAATTTTGGGGATGGTTTATTATTGGGTTTACCACATTGTGGATCATGTGGGTAAAACAATAAGAAACCATCCCCCAAATCACCATAAGTAGGTGGTATAAACCATTCCAAAATGGGTGGTTTATTATTGTTGTAACCACATTATAAGCATTTCAAGGATAAGAAAGGCACCATCACCATCACCCATCTTCGCAGCCTCTGTTGAGCAATGGGAGGCAAGGACCTTGATGGCCTGCGACGGCTACTGGTTAAGCTACCCACAGCCATGTGGTTGTTCACGCCGACGGGAAACATCCAAGCTTTAAAACCATCTCGAATCTCAACCAATATCAAATCCATGTTTGTTTTCCCCATGATTAAATTATATATTAAATAGACCTTTACAAATCAGCCATCCATCTCCATTTCCACCCAACTTCCATAGGATTTCCACAGTCGCCATGGCCTCGACCTGTCCCTGCAGGGCCGCCAGGTGCAAAGCCGTCCAGTCCCGCGGCGTCCGCAGCGTCTCGTCCGCGCCCGCGCTCAGGAGGTGTTCGCAGCAGGCCGCTGAGCCGCCTCGGGGAACCGCAGTTGGAATGAAAACTCTAAGGGGAAAATGGTGATTTCATGATTTATTGGTGATTTTCAGGTTTTCTGGCCATTGGTTTTCCGTTGTCCATTGAAAATCTGAAGGAAACCATGGTTTTTACCATCAAACATAGGGCTTTCCTGTAACATTTTCCTTAAACCAATCCAATGACACTGACATCCATTGGTTTTCCATCTGATTCAGTGGTAATTGTTCAATGATATGGAACTGTTCATCATTTTTTGTGAATAACATTCATGGGGAAAACATAGTCATTGGTGAAATGTTTTTTTTTTTTATGTGGTTGTCACTTCCATCTATGGAAAAAATATGGATGTAGATATGGCAGTATAATATGGGTAATCAATATAGATTATCACTGAACCATGTAACCTTTACATGGTAACAGATATAAAATGATATAAAATGTATTTTTTACAAATGATAATAAGTTATCCGTGATCCTTTTAACATTTACGGACAACATCTGGATATGGTGATGTACCATGGCTATTCACCAAGAAATGATTGATAATGGATCATAAGGTGCCGACCAGCCCAGTGATCAGTCAACATCACCATGGGGATGGGGATACACCGAGTATGAAACCAACTTGAATGGTGAATCTGGATGAATGAGAACCATTCACCAATCTGAAAAAACATAAGGCAATTCTGGCATAGCGGCATAGTCACACCTAATTACTTACTAACAATCATTCCAGCTACTCCTAAACATGTTACAACTGGCTGAGTTGGACCGGATACTACATTGGACATGTTACAACTGGTTGATGTTCATTGATCCTTAATATGGTTGCTGCCGTTTGCCACAGGGTAATGGATATGGATGGATATGGGATTTAAACACGGACACATCTATGAAAAATGGTCCGAATGTCCAATCAAATTGTGAATGGTCTGCACAACGTATGTCTGGATGATGGAAAAATATGGAACGGATGATGCCTGGGTGATGGAATGATTGTTTTCGATGGTGGATCAGTGGATGAGATAGGGGTCAAGTTGCTGAGACTCCAGGCACCTTGGTTACACCTGATTGTAGTTATTTTCCCAATCAAAATGGTCATAGTCTGGCAGCCAGCACAATTTTGAGCGGAATGATCAACTCTCCGTTGATTTGAATTGGGGGTTGCCCCTTGCCCAAAATCATGACAATAATGATTCAATAATGATAAATAAAGTATATCAAACTATATGCTTGGCTCCTCCTCCCCATTTAAGGAATATGGATACCCATGTATACCCCTAGCTCGGAACAGTTCCCTCCTTGGCGCAGCCACACCCAGTCCAGGCACTGTAAGCGGCAGAGTGCAATGGAGTCCAGCCACGTTGGCAACGCTGATCTTTCATCGCCTTCCAACGTTGGCAACCATGGCTCGGCTGAACCCAAAAAGAATGTATCTTACAATGATAAACTCAAGTTATCACATCTTATCACCATCTTACTATAAGATTTTGCTTGACCATCTTTTTGGAGTTTAGTATGCTTGAACTCTGCGGGTACAACCCGTTGTGACATTATGATTATTCTAAGCACAACCTTCCATCTGGGAACTGGGTTGCTCTGACAAGTTGAAAGGGTGAAAAAATGAGAAGAACAGAATGACATAGCACAAGGCTGCCAGAACATCATTTATTGTATTTACCTCATCAAAATCACCAAAATGTTAGTTGACATTCCATCGTTCTGGGGGCTGCGGATGAGGATGTTGTGAATATGTACATAAGAGTGATTCGAATTGTTTATCAAATTGGTACAGTAATGTACAGTATAAATAATTATAATTTATAAGGAATGCCTCATGGAATGAGAATCCCTCGTCAAACATCGTTAAACTAGATAGATGGCTGTCCTCATGGCTCATGGTGAACACATCAATGAGCCTGGAGAGTGGACAGAGTGGACCATTGAATGCCATTGAAAAAATAGGTGCTCTTGGAAGACAAAACGATTTTGGATTCACCTTCGCAGCCATCATACCAACCATCCCAACCATTCCAACCTCCGCATTCAGCGGCACCATCAGGAGCAACTTGCAAAGCCTCTAGCCGTGGAAAAGCCCTGGAAAAGCTCAACGAAAACCCCAACTCGGAGTGCCCCTTTTGGTCCATCCACAGAAAATGCCAACGCTGCGGGGGTGACGAGGCAACCAAACCCTTCTTGCAGTCATCAAAATCATCAAATTTAAGCGACGTTAATCCAGATCTTATTGTGATAACATTGCCAAGAGGTGACATTAGCCCTACTTGATCATGACTTATGACATTTGTTAGCACTACCCTCCGGTAATCAAATATGGCAATGGAAAATTCCACCATTTATAGTGTCCATTAACACCTCCATTCATAGAGGATCTTCAATTGCCATGTTTGATTGCTGGAGGGTACAAATCATGTTTGGAAATCACCCTCCATTAAAAATAGGTAAATCAACATAAACCAGAAATCATCTATATATTATATAATATATAAGTATGCAATTCTATACAGCTAAGTAACAAAAAACAACAAAGGGTAACAGGAAATAAAGCATTGATATCTCACCATTAGGCCACGATGTTTCTTGGTTAAATCATGTCTATTTAATCACCATAAAACATCTCAACGGGTGATATACTCACTTGAAACAATAAACCATTCTTAACGACTTAAATCATGTTAAATCATGTTAAATCACTAGATCATCATAACCCCACCTCAAAATCCAATTAATACGATATCACCATAATATCCCCATTATCATTAAAGCACCATTTTTGTTCGAGTTAACCCACCAAAATCAAATCCCTTGGGTCACCATTCTCCATCCTCCCGCCTCCCAAAGCCCAGGGCACAGGCCCAGTGCAGAGCCGTTAATCCACGATGGTCTGAATGCCAAGGCACAGCGCCGTGCCTTGGAACCGTGGCTTTCACTGGAGAGTTCAGGGGAAATCTCCAAAAATCCTAGGTTTTTATAGGAAGAAAACTATTTTTTTGGACAAAAACTCATTATCCACCCTGAAAGTTAAGATAATTTTGGGACTCTACATTGGTGCCAAATTGTCCACTAGTTGAAAGTTATATATAAATTATAGGGTATGTGTCAGATTTTTCAGGCAAACCTACAATGAATGAAGTCAATTCGGGGTACCATCCCAACAAATGGGGTGATCCTTCCTCCGCGCTATACAATCGTATCATGCGATAATCCCGGGTAGCCATGCTTCTGACGGGTTGGGAACCCTTGAGCGGCGGCCTCAATAAGAGTTGCATCGCCCCGGCCATGCCATGCCGCACCGCCCAGAGCAACGGGGTGTGTCCGTGACGGTCCTCCTGGAGAAACGAAACTGATTGGAACTTGATTCCTCTTGGTTCCTTGCAACCATAGCCATGTAGCATGATAACAAAAATATGCAAAAATCACAACGCCCCCAAGGGTTGTGGAAATGCGTGTCACCAAAAACATAGCGTCCTTCCCCCACAAAAAACCGGTTGCATTTGTCTGAAAATAGGGCACCCCAAATTTATCATTGGTTGTCCCAAAAACAGATCGCCTATCTTTTCTTTGGTGAGTCTTTGTCATCCATGGTAGAAATCCCACTAATAATTCCCCGATGTAAATCGACACAACCAATCACACCCAGACAAACTTCGAAGATGAAGAGTTCAGCCTGGAAGTTCAGCTGTGGATGTCGCAACAACGCCTCACAGACTTCTAAGCAGCCGCAGCCCGCAGCGTAGTGCAGTGCATTGCGGTCGTCCAACTGCCAGAGCAGCGGGGAACTGTGAAATCCACCCCTTATAAATGAAGGTTTATAGCTAGTAACATCTAGAAATGGATAGAAATGGTGGATTTTCCGGCAAGTCATGGTTGAATACTGGAGGGTAGATTTGCAGGACTTTGTAGTTGCAACCTATGAACATCAGGAAAAACTTGGAACATCTGGAAGTCCTGTGGTCCACTCGTGGCACCTGAAGGTCAACCTCTTGAAACTGGAAACCTGGGTTGCTGGGCTGGGCAAATTCCGCCAACAACAGCGTGAGGGAATCCTCAGGATGCTTAAAAGAATGTAAACAGCAAGGATAAAACGAGGAATGTACCTGCCTGAGCTAGTTCTTTTTGAATGTTCTTTGGAGCTTCTCATTGCTGATGCTCAAAGTCAAAATGGAAATCGTCTCTCGGATGGTTCCCCCAAGCTGGTTCCAGTGTCACAATCATTCCTACACCTCAACTCCAACTGCCAAGGGGCTTTGAAGGATTGACAGCACTCTGTTCGTTGAGGCCTAGCCATGTCAGGGATGTCATATATGTCATGATCGTTTCAAGGCTAGTCAGCTGCAATTCAAGCTGAGTGTCATAAACAATCTTCATGCCCAAAGTCAGCATTTCCAGACTCAAAACTTGACCCTCTTTTGGTGGAACGTCATGATCGTCATGTCCCGAGGTGGCCTCGTATTCAGCTTGAAAAGCTTCAGGCGCTTCTAAGGAGCTGCGATAGAGCCCCGCCTCGACGTTGAAAGTTTGGTCCCCTGATTTTGTGGCCGCAACCCATCCCCCGAACAGCCAACATACAGAAATCGTTTGGCTTCATCATACCAATGAAATGAATTGGACCTTTTTTCTTCAGTCATTCCAATCATTTAAAATCAGCAGTTTTGGTACGTTGTGATTATTGTGGTTATGTACTAGGCACCCACTCTTGTTCACTTATTATAATCCTATTGGCTAGATTATTTATATATATATAGGCAATGTAACAGCTAAATACAAATTACCACGTATCTAGATATGTTACAGCTAAATACACATCCGTATAGATCTTCTATATGATATTCTATGATAGTCTATATATGTAACAGATGTCTATATCCCCATTGATTTCAGATATTTCAGGATGGTTAGACATGGTTAGACCATCTAAAACCACCATTTTTTATGGATCAACGGCCATCCGATTTCCCGGGATTTCCAACATTCCAAATGATCCAAGATGATCCAAGTCACCAGGATTTCAGGCACGGGCCTTGGTCGAAACAACTGGCAGTGCCATGTGTGTGTGTTTTTAAAAACTATAGGTAGATTCAGCTAGATGAATATTTATCTAAAACATTCTAAAACATATGTTGATCTACAGATCTGGTTTTAAAAATCTTAGTCGATATTTCTCTAAATGTAATTCTAAAACAGATAGATCTTACACATCCTGAAATCAAGGAACATCTCCAAGCAACAGGACCCCAACCACAACTTCCAGGGCTCAGTCCACTTCTGGCCGTGTACAGCCAGAGAATCCGGGGAGAATCCAGGGTGCAGTGACAGGTTTAGTACTTGGAGGTGCAGTTTCAGCTGTCCATAGCTCTATCTGGCGCTTTTGCACCAGAAATAGAGCTGATATGTCTCATCTTCTCAAAAAGGTAGGAATCAACATAAATATATCTAAATATCCTCATGGGTCAAAATAGATCAACATAACACACCTTAAATGTGATTTTCTTGAAGGTCTTTTTTTTTCGGTCCCATGCATCTTGAATCTTGTTGCCTGGGTGCATCTCCAATGTTGCTTCTATCACCCATTTGGGTTTGGACCCCAAAAACACCATTTTGGGTTGTCTGAAACTATGATATCCCTGAATCCACTGGTTCATCATCACATGTGCCCTATTATATAATCCCTATTAGAATAAATGCATTATATAAATTTGCTAATCTGATCATCATGAATTCCACCTATATCCCCATTATGCTTCGTACATTCCCAGGGTGCATCACTCGCTGGCGCCAAGGTGCTTTGGCCCCATCTGGCGACCGTCCAGTGCCTCTGCCACGGCCGAGCCATCTCTGATTGTGTGCTCTGCGAGCCAGGACATTGGCTACGGCAAACATGGGGTAGCAATGGGACCACTTCCATGTGAGAATAGTTGGATGAGGAGGTTGGGAATGGTTGGGATGAGGATGAGGATCATGGATAATTTAACTAATGTACGGATATGCACGGGCATTAGACTGGTTCAAATGGATTTTATGTATCCTCTCATTGGCAGGGTGCAAGGTAATCCTAGCAAGCTCTAGGCCTCGCCCAAACATATGCAGTCGGGTCGTATGATCTTACTCTGAAATTTGCCAGAAAGAGGAAGGCAAATCAAAGGCAGATTGGTGCTTCAACCACCCTGAAAAGAGGCAAAGACAATATTGCCGAATCTGGTTCGCAATCCCAGGATGAAATGGACAGTTGAGCGAACGACGTCGGAAAACAGCCCGCTGTGACGTCAAACGTAAACTGTACCTCCTCATTTCTCCCAGCCTCGTTCATCTTTCTAGACAAGGAAGGTGTCGTAAGTGAGATTGCCTGCCTTTTTTTCATCTTCAAATCTCATCAAAGGTCGGTTTGGAGGGCTTTTTGCTGCCTCCCTTACTGCCCAGTGAGATATCTTGTGTCTCAGCTCGCATGCACATGAACTCACCCAGCAGCACCGAGATGAGCATGGCGGGTACTTGAATGATCCACCATTGCCAGAAGGCCGGGAATCCTGCCAGAAATTGCACATAGATGATGAAATATGATGAAATGACCCGCAAATGGGTGGTTAATGGGTTCATAATTATTCAATTTACATCGATTTACCCCATTGCAGGGTGTGCATAGCAGCTTGGATTCAATCCGCTTGCCCAGAAATCTCCGGAAATCTGACTTGGAAGGAGCCATGTATGTCCAGTGTCCAGCTTCACTTTTTTCCTTTCTGTCTTTCTGTCTTTCTGTCTTTCTGTCTGTCTTTTATTTTCTTTCTTTCTTTATTTATGTCTCTCTTTAATTTCTCTCTTTCTTTCTTTTCTTTTCTTGTGTTTTCTTATCTATTCTTTTCTTTCTCTATTGTTTTCTTACATTATTTTTTTTTACCTCTCTTTTTTTTCTCTCTCTTTTTGTTTCTCTCTCTCTCTCTCGCTCTCAAGTCTTCGGCAAACCTGTCACTCTCAAGCATTCTCTGCCATTGAACAAATAAGAACTCCTTTCCAGCATTAGCCCCGGATTGCTCCTTCTGCTAAGCAGGTGGCCATCAAATGAAAGATGTGATAAGTTGCCACAAAGTCTAAGCCTTGGCATGGCGTGGCGCATGGCGTGAAAAGGATGGCCAGTTGAAACTGGGAGACGCCGCTGCCATGTTGATCAAATCATTTGTTTTATGTCCTCTTGCCGCGCATGATTTTTAACTACCAATGAACTACTTAATGGGAATTGGCCAAGAAAAAACGCTTGTCTCGTGGCCAATGGATGCCAATTTAGAAAAGCAACTGGCATATCACGTGCTACGGCGCTACGGTTGTGGGGTTGAAACCGCCCTGGGGGAATCAGCGTGAAACATGTGTAGAAACACACACATTTGCCACTAATATGTCCATGCAAATGGAAGTATGGTTGTCAACATATCTACGCACACACACACATATAATATATAAATATAAATATTATTTAAGAATATTATATATATATATGATTATATCTATATACACGCATGCCCGTCTTTATACACTGCATATCTCGAATGAATAAATATATAATATCCTTTTTGTCCATGGCAGCTGGCAGCCCTCCCTCCCACTGCCCTGCCAATCCGTAGGGACATTTCTTAGCTCGTTGCACCACGAAGCGCAGTTCTACTGCCATCACAAAGGAAGTCAGCCATAGAGCGCAAGCTAGAATCAAGCCTCGAGTTGTTCTCCAGGTATAAGCCTCCAAACTAAGAACAGCAGCTGGTTGAGCTTGGTCACTCATAGATGTGGCCACATTTGTATGCCACCATTGCATGTTTTTATTAGCATGATGTTCCAACAGAGAGTTGAGATTATAATTTGGAAAAGTTACTGTACTTAGTCTTCAATAGTGTCAGAATGCGAGGGACTTATGTGGGTCAAATCGGTTTGCCTTTGTGAAGCCTGCGTACCCTATAAGAACCTTTGCTAGCTGGCCACTGGCGTATGCAACCATTCTAATGGCAGCCTAACTGTGCCAATGCCCAGTGCAAAAATGGCGATTATGCATCAACACTGTGTAAGACAAGTGTCATCGAATCACTTCATCTCCAAAACAACCTCTGTCCTCTGTGCAGTTTGGTATGATTACATCATATTCATGCATATGCATGTGCATATATATATATTATACACATAGTAAAAAAATAAAAATAAACAAACATAGAAGAGGAACATAATTATATTAGAAATTATTTCACATAATAATGCGCCTTCAAATGGTTCTGGATATTTCTGGATCATGATTGAAACTGTTTGAAGTAAATGTTGCTACTTGGGAGCAAGTCCATGGAACCACGGCGGGCGTTTTGTGCCTCCGGTTGGAAGAGCTGTCCTGCACCTTGCTCTTCCCCTGAATTGAACTGCGGGATGTTTCTGGAATGAGTTGAGGGGGGAAAAACGGAAACCAATACCCTCTGGTAATTTAACATAGCTATTGATTTAGCTACTAAAAATGGTGATTGTCCAGCTGTTAGTTTACCAGAGGGTATCTGATTATTATAGTTTCTTACAATGAAATTTGGGTTGACCAACGCAAAAAAAAGGGAGTACTCTACCTGGAGTTGGTTGAAGGATTGGTGGAAAAACTCCATCCTTCCCAGGAGCTGTTACCTTCCACCAATCCCTTGACATCGCGCCCAGCAGCTGGCGCTCCAGTCATCAAACATGGCTATCTGGGAAATTCCCGATCAATTGCCTTCTTGAAATATTAAAATCCTCCTTAAAAATGGTGAATTTTCCGGGGTTTATTACAAACTAAAGCCATCCATTTTTTGTAGGGTCAAGCTCTTTGCGGCTGGAAAGTGGAAAGGTCCGGCCACGACCTGCCGGAAAGCCAATGCCATGGAGTCCATGGCACAAAATCGCTGGTATGATCCTGTTGGATCCTGTTGGTGGTTCATGGCTTGTTTCAATCGCCCTCAACAATATATATATATGTCCAAATCCCAAGTAAGATGAAAACCAAATATTATTCAACATCTATTTACAAGCTATTTTAGGCTATTGTGGTGTTCACCAGGGGTATCCGATTATGACTCATCCCATCACATCCAGATGTTTTCTCCCCGGGAAACCCAGCCGAAGAAAAGATCGCCCACGGAAACGCAACTGCAGAAACAAAGCCAGAAGCTGCTCTGCATCACCAGAATCCTCACAGAGTCAGAGTGGTGCCTTCCCCAGTGATGGTTGTTGGTTTATAATCCCATCTCACTAGTTATATCATGTTATATCCCCCTAATCAACCCTAGTGAAATTGGAGTTATAAAGTTATGTGCACCAACTTAACTATGGGGAACTACCCTGCAAGCGAAACGGCTGGGTCAGACTTGGGGCGGCTAAACACTGGGAAAAATCTGGCTAGAAACTAAATCAAGGCTCATCCCTACTCTCCACGCTGGAAAAAACATTTAAAACACCGGGGAAAAAAAACACATTTCAGAATCTGAGAATCAGATTATCTGTACGTTTATATTTATTTTTGTTGCATCTGAAATCTCTTATTTGTACGGTGTTTGCAACATATTGGTTGGAGTTAGTTTGAAGATCTATTTAGCGTTGATTTAGAGTGCATTTAGCTTACATGTTTTAGGGTTCCTTTGGGAGCAGTTTTGGTGTTGATTTAAGGGTGTTTTACGGTTTATTAATTGGAAGTTTCGGGGTTTATTTACGCGAGTGTTATATACATCATAATCATATATAATCATCAGCATATGTTGATTTAGGGTTGGGTTGTTGTTTGGTGTGAAAGGTTGTTTTTTTTTTGCATCGATTTACTCCCGGTTTGGTGGGTTTGTTTATATAGTGTTGGCTTGGTTGTTTTTGGTGCTGTTTTAGGGTTTCTTTTGTGTTTGGTTTCAGGGTGGTTTTGGGTCTTTATTTAGGGTTGCTTTATTGTCGTTTCAGGGTTTGCTTAGGGTTGCTGTGGTGCTTCTTTAAGTTCGTTTTAAGGTTTGTTGAGGTTGCTGGAGGTCTTATTTTTGGTGGTTTTAGGGTTTCGTTAGGGTTCTCTCTCTCTCTCTCTTTCTCTCTCCATCGGGTTGGTTTTAGGTATTTTTAGGGTATCTTTCAGGTTTGTGTTGTAGTGTTGATTAAAGGTTGATGTGCGGTGTTTCTTTGGCCTGTCTTGTGGTTTATTTAGTTTTGATCTAGTGTCTTTTTGATTAGGGTCATTGTTGGGTTTATTTGGGGTTGTGTTGGTGCTGAGTTACGGTTGGTTAGGTGCCTTTGTGGTGTTGTTTTATGGTTCATTTAGTATAGTGACTATGTGTTGGTTTCGGGTTTGTTCAGTTTCAGTTCTAGTTTTTGGTGCTTCTTTAAGTTTGTTCAAACGGTTGCATCTTTGAACCGAGGTTGCTACGGACGTGCCAAAGCCCATCGCCGACTGGTGATGTCAACCACCCTGAAAAAAACTATCAAGGGGTGATCATGGCAGGCCATAGAAACTAACAATCTCAAAAATGAGACTACAACATCAAACAGAATAGCAACGTTTACCCATTATCCCAAAGGGTGGTACCCACGAGTTTAGTTTGTTGGTTTAATCATCTCCTTTAACTATACATGTCCCCTAATCAACCCAAGTGAATTTGGATTGCACCAACTTAGCTATTCGGCACTATCCATCACCATCCTGTTATCATCCATGAGCTCCAAGGTATTCCAAGGTTCTGTGTGGTAATCAGCCGCGGATTGAACTTCTCGGCTCCATAGAATTGGCCCGCCATGTTGCGGGCCTGCGCGTTTCACAACGGCGTGGCAAACTGCAGTGGCAAACTGGAGCTCCAATCTGAATTGGTGAAACAAACAATACAGGAAACCTATGGAAACCTTATATTTCGATCCTATACATATGTTATTTTGTCCAGAACAACACGAGGGTTTGTTCATTTCATTTCTGTAATTCAAACCTCATTGATACAGAACATATGGCGATTTCAGTTCGAACTGTTGGGGCCTTATTATAGTGCCTTCTCAGTGTCATTCAGCACTTTCGGTCACACATTGAGACTATTGAGTGAAATCAACTGACACTCTCCGTTTGCAAACGGAGACTTTGGTTTCAAACCCGACACAGACAAAAAATGGTTCCAACTTGTTGCATCTCTGAGCCATCAGCAAATCTTGCGCGCGAGAGTGCGAGTCCAAAAAATGACTTAACAGTCATTATATATATATAAAATCTATATGTATATATATATATATGTGTGTGTGTGTTGGATTATGTTGGTATTACTTCTGGGTGATTGACAGCTGCCGAAAGTCATGCTTTGTTAGGAATATTGTTGACGACAAGTATCTGGTCACTCGGAGCCCCATATGGCCCTTATGCAAAGCTTGAAACCAAACACACACAGGTGGACTTATCCCACAGCACACACATGGCGCAGCCACAAGGCGATGGGAATTTTCGAGGTGAAAACAGTGTGGTGTTTCAAAAACCAAAGCGCAAACTGCAAGCTCTGCAGTCTGCAGGCGTTGGTCTAGCCCATGATGCTGCGCGCAGATTGCCTCAAGGTTGTTCCAAGACCTCTAAGGTTTGATGTGGCAAACCCAATGAAACCAGGCCCAATAACAAACCATATACATATATATATATATATACGTATATATATATATATGTGTGTGTGTGTGGTATTCCTTTAAGCTATCCCAGTTTAAGGGGCATCCAATGTTCTTAAACCCAGACTATGGATGGATACGGGTAGTTTATTATGGGGATTCCAAAATGAATTAATTCCCCGGGCTGTTGATGTCACAACATGCACACACGGTAAGACAGTAACCCCATACGTAAAAAAAATATGTCCATTCTTCCAGTGCGACTTTATTCAGTTGTCTATTCTGCCTAGAGGCTGGGGTTTATAGTCTTATATTCACAGATTGTGTTCCTGTTAAAAACGGGGATGTCCGATTCCCACGTTCAATTACCAAAGGGTGGTTCCGTTTGTGTCCCTTTAAGAGGAACAACTTCTGATCTTGCCCCACCTCTGTCAGTGTTTTTCACAAGCTCCCGGAACCCTGTACTTATTGAAATAGTGGACATACAACAAGAATGCAGTGTGCCCATACATGTCTCTATGTGCGAGTAGCGGGTATGTTTTATGTCCAGAATACCCGATACTGTCCAGATGTCTGTCTATCCAAGTTTATCCAAGTTTATTCATTTCTCTCTCTCTCTCTCTCTGTATCTGTCCATTTGTCCATCTGTCCATTTGTCCATCTTTCCATTTGTCCATTTGTCTATGTGTCTATATGTCTATCTATCGATCTACCTATGTGTTTTTCTGTCTGTATGCATGCATGTATAATATGTATGTGCATGCATGTGTGTATTGATGCATGTGTGTATTTATGTATGTGCATATAAGCCAGTAAATCTGCATGCGTAGACAGCACATATATATTAAAATCATGTGTTATATATGTATAAATATATATATATATATACATATATATATATATATATACGTACATATACGTATATATACGTAAATGTATATATATATATATACATGTATATGTGTGTGTGTGTGTGTATCATTGACCAAGATATAGAATATGTGTGTGTGTGACAAATCAGTAATTATAAAATATGCACATTCTGCAGTTTCTTTCCAGCCAACAAACCCATCGTATGAGGCCAAAAAACTCAACCTCGGACCCCCCAAAACTGGGACACGTTGAGCGATGCTCACTGCATCCGAAACGGGAGGCGTCCATTGAGCAGGGTGCGAAACAGCCAGCCCGGAGCACCCTTCTCCCAGAAATGCCTAACATATCTAAGATTTGTATATCTTTCATTACATTTCAAGACTTTCCAAGAAGTAAGGATCAGGATTTCTGGATTTTAGAGAAATTCTTAAATTTCTTAACCTTGCGGAATGTCCCCAGGTGGGTTGTGGAAAATTCATCTCTGTGACTTGTTTGGATATGTTGCAGCAGTTTGACACTATTGTTTTTTGCATATTTTTTTGCCGCATATTTTTGACGTGATTGAACTGAACTTCAATAAATGCGCATTTCATGCAAAGACTTGGTGACCTGCAACATCCTGAAGTCATCTTCTCTTGAAAGAATTTAATAAGAGTTTTGATCTATTCGAATCTATTCGACATCGGTTTGTGAAAGGAAAAGGGCAGTCACTTCCTATAGAACCCCCTGAATTCTACAGGAATTCAGGGGGTCCAGGCAGCAATATTTACTGCGTGGCTGCCAACGTGTTGCTTGCAGGATGCCGCATGAAGCGGTTTCTGGCGCGTTCTCAATGTCACTTGCTGCTATAATTTCTGACCTTAAGTCGCTATCCGTCATTGAGCGGTGACTGATATAAGACACATTGTGATACTTTTATATACTTTTGGTGTCGCTTTGACCAGGCTCAGCCAGCAACATCAAACACGCAGGCGGCATCCCTAGTCCTAGGCTATACATGATGCAAAATGCTTACAAAATGATAGACTGGTGCATGAACATGAATAATTGAATAGCTCTGCAATCAATCCTTTGCCCGAGCAAGTGTCCAACATTCACCGAGACATTCCTGGGCGTGGTCCCTCTTTATCTTGTCCTGATCAACGTGCACACCCTCATTTAAGCTCGTCCCCACTGGGGAAATATTCAAATGAAACCAGCATGGAGCTTTATGTCTTTAGTATCCGCCACTGTTGCTACTTCTATTCCCATAAAGACGGGTAACATCCTCAAGAAATCTGATTGGAGACTGTAACCCAGCTCCATACGCAGCAGTGACATTCAAAACAGGTCTGGCAACTTGCACCGCAGCTTGATTTCCTCTGCTGATCTGCGCCGCAGCTTGTTTTCTGCCCAGGATGTTGCCCACGGTAATTTAACATAGCTATGGAGAATCACTGCTAAATTCCGCAATTCCCTGCTAAGGTGTTAAGATTGTGGAAGGAAGTTTAGAAGTCAAACTTCCGACAATATGGAGAGATGAAAAAGCAATCAGCAGGGAGAAGAGTCAGAAGAGAAAAGATCAGAAGAAAGAAGATGCAGGTGCGCGAAAAGGTAGGAAAGTCGCGAAACACTGTGTTTTTTCGTGGTTTTGTGGCTCCGGAGGGTTGAAAAGTAGGCTCGCTAAAGCGGCGGGTGCGGAGCACTCTTGGAAGTTGAGATGTTGAAAAAGTGCACGGCGTTGTGGCGCGAAGCACATTTGGAAGTAAAAAGTGTTAAAAACTGAGGGTCTCGGAGCACTCTTGGAAGTTGAGATGTTGAAAAAGTGCACGGCGTTGTGGCGCGAAGCACATTTGGAAGTAAAAGTGTTAAAAACTGAGGGTCTCGGAGCACTCTTGGAAGTTGAGATGTTGAAAAAGTGCACGGCGTTGTGGCGCGAAGCACATTTGGAAGTAAAAGTGTTAAACTGAGGGTTCGGAGCACTTTTGGAAGTTGAGATGTTGAAAAAGTGCACGGCGTTGTGGCGCGAAGCACATTTGAAGTAAAGTGTTAAAAACTGAGGGTCTCGGAGCACTCTTGGAAGTTGAGATGTTGAAAAAGTGCACGGCGTTGTAGCGCGAAGCACATTTGGAAGTAAAATGTGTTAAAAACTGAGGGTCTCGGAGCAGTTTTGGAAATTGAGATGTTGAAAAAGTGCACGGAGTTGTGGCGCGAAGCACATTTGGAAGTAAAATGTGTTAAACTGAGGGGTTCGGAGCACTTTTGGAAGTTGAGATGTTGAAAAAGTGCATTGTGGCACGAAGCATATTTGGAAGTCAAAAGTGTAAAAACTGAGGGTCTCGGAGCACTCTTGGAAGTTGAGATGTTGAAAAAGTGCACGGCGTTGTGGCGCGAAGCACATTTGGAAGTAAAAAGTGTTAAAAACTGAGGGTCTCGGAGCACTCTTGGAAGTTGAGATGTTGAAAAAGTGCACGGCGTTGTGGCGCGAAGCACATTTGGAAGTCAAAAGTGTAAAAACTGAGGGTCTCGGAGCACTCTTGGAAGTTGAGATGTTGAAAAAGTGCACGGCGTTGTGGCGCGAAGCACATTTGGAAGTCAAAAGTGTTAAAAACTGAGGGGTTCGGAGCAGTTTTGGACGTTCCAATGGCGATTCGATGTCGAAAAAGCGCACGCCATTGTGGCGCCAAGCACATTTCCAAGTCAAAAGTGTTAAAAACTGAAAGTTTCGGGCCATTTTTTGAAGTTTGGATGTGACTACACTACAACTACAACAACAACAACAACAACAGATTCGCTCTGCTGTTCTTGCATCCCACCAACTCACCTCTCCTATAGGTTTTCCATTTTTGAAACTTCCGCCACCGCCTTGTGCGGTACTACTGGTATATAAGCCATGCAGGTATGTCAGAATGGTTTGTGGGGAAAGGAATGGACACGACTCTGATTGGAAGGAATTGAGACAAAGCCGGGACCACAGAATATAACATATAAATAGAATATATGAGCGATTGTGAAAACCCTAGGTTCACGGAAAGGACATCCACAAATTTGGGAAGGTCTCATCGCTTACCACACGTTTGTACAATAATGATATATGGTAAACTTGGGGGGTATCGCTTGCAGGAAACTGCTGCATTTATATATATACGTATATATATATATATATATGTGATGAACTATGAATAATACGTGATATTTGGGTATCGCTAATGTGGATATTAGAGAAATATGATGACATAATAACCTTGAAAAGGGGTATCGCTAATTTGGGAAGGTCCCATCGCTTACCTCGTGTGTTTAACAATTTCCATCAATTTCCATAAACCAATGTCCGTCGAATACATATTTAGTATTGCCGGGGTTTTTACGGTTG